GAAGAAAGTTGAAGGAAGGGGAAGGAAGATGAAGGGAGGGGAAGGAAGATGAAGGGAGGGGAAGGAAGATGAAGGAAAGGGAAGGAAGATGAAGGCAGGGGAAGGAAGATGAAGGAAGGGGAAGGAAGATGAAGGGAGGGGAAGGAAGATGAAGGAAAGGGAAGGAAGATGAAGGGAGGGGAAGAAAGTTGAAGGAAGGGGAAGGAAGATGAAGGAAGGGGAAGGAAGATGAAGGCAGGGGAAGGAAGATGAAGGAAGGGGAAGGAAGATGAAGGGAGGGGAAGGAAGATGAAGGAAGGGGAAGGAAGATGAAGGGAGGGGAAGAAAGATGAAGGAAGGGGAAGGAAGATGAAGGAAGGGGAAGGAAGATGAAGAGAGGGGAAGAAAGATGAAGGGAGGGGAAGGAAGATGAAAGAAGGGGAAGGAAGATGAAGGGAGGGGAAGGAAGATGAAGGAAGGGGAAGGAAGATGAAGGAAGGGGAAGGAGAGATGAAGGGAGGGGAAGGAAGATGAAGGAAGGGGAAGGAAGATGAAGGGAGGGAAAGAAAGATGAAGGAAGGGGAAGGAAGATGAAGGAAGGGGAAGGAAGATGAAGGAAGGGGAAGAAAGTTGAAGGAAGGGGAAGGAAGATGAAGGAAGGGGAAGGAAGATGAAGGAAGGGGAAGGAAGATGAAGAGAGGAGAAGAAAGGCTCTAAAAAGTCACTAATATACTTTATATTACTTTAATTTTACATATAGTTTTTCCTAGAGATATTTTTACAGATTTTTTTTAGATAGTTTTTTCAGAGACAGTTTTGGTCTTAGTTTCTGAGATAGTTTTATCAGCTTTTTCTTAGAGATAGTTCTTTAGAGTGTTAGAGATAGTTCTTTAGAGTGTTAGAGATAGTTCTTTAGAGTGTTAGAGATAGTTCTTTAGAGTGTTAGAGATAGTTCTTTAGAGTGTTAGAGATAGTTCTTTAGAGTGTCAGAGATAGTTCTTTAGAGTTAGAGATAGTTCTTTAGAGCTAGAGATAGTTCTTTAGAGTTAGAGATAGTTCTTTTAGGAAAACCATTTTCACACATATTTTTTATGCATAGTTATTTATGCATACTTTATTGCATAAATATTTTTTACATACTTTCAGATGGATACTGTTTTGCATATTTTTTGCATATTTTTTCGTATATACTTTTTACATACTTTTTTGCAGATACTTTTGTATATATTTTTTTTAGAAATACTTTTACTTCACTGATAGGCTTAATAACATTTGATAATTTTTCAAGAATAAATCGTTATATTTATGTAAAACCTTTTATATATGGCATCAATATTGATACCATAGTCATTAAAGGCATCAATATTGATACCAGGGTCAGTAAAGGTATCAATATTGATACCAGGGTAAGTAAAGGCATCAATATTGATACCTGGGTAAGTAAAGGCATCAATATTGATACCTGGGTAAGTAAAGGCATCAGTATTGATACCTGGGTAAGTAAATGCATCAATATTGATACCATGGTAAGTAAAGGCATCAATATTGATGCCAGGGTAAGTAAAGGTATCAATATTCATACCAGGATCAGTAAAGGCATCAATATTCATACCAGGGTCAGTAATGCTTCAATATTGATACTAGGGTCAGAAAAGGCATCAATATTGATACTAGGGTCAGTAAAGGCATCAATATTGATACCAGGGTCAATAAAGGCATCAATATTGATACCAGGATCAGTAAAGACATCAATATTGATAACAGGGTCAGTAATGCATCAACATTAATACCAGGATCAATAAAGACATCAATATTAATACCAGGGTCAGTAAAAGCATCAATATTGATTCTAGGGTCAGTAAAGGCATCAATATTGATACTAGGGTTAGTAAAGACATCAGTATTGATACCAGGGTCTGCAGTGTCATCAATATTGACACCAGGGTTAGTAGCATGATCAATATTTATACCAGGGTCAGCAGTGTCATCAATATTGACACCAGAAGCACTGGGGTCATCAATATTGACACTAGGGGCAGTTGGGTCATCAATATTGACACCATGGGCAGTGGGGGCATCAATATTGACATGAGGGGCAGTGGGAGCATCAATATTAACACCAGGGGCAGTGAGGGCATTAATATTAACACCATGGGCAGTGGGGGCATCAATATTGACATGAGGGGCAGTAGGGGCATCAGTATTATCACCATGGGCAGTGGGGGCATCAATATTACATGAGGGGCAGTGGGAGCATCAATTTTAACACCATGGACAGTTGGGGCATCAATATTGACATGAGGGGCAGTGGGGTCATCAATATTAACACCATGGGCAGTGGGGGCATCAATATTGACATGAGGGGCAGTGGGGTCATCAATATTGACACCATTGGCAGTCGGGTCATCAATATTGACACAACTAGCAGTGGGGTCTTCAATATTGACACCATTGGCAGTGGAGTCATCAATATTGACACCATTGGCAATGGGGTCATCAATATTGACACCAGGGGCAGTGGTGGCATCAATATTAACACCAGGGG